CCGCAACCTCCGCCTCCTGGGTTCAGGCAATTCTCCTGCCTCAGCCTCCTGAGTAGCTGGGATTACAGGCACGCGCCACCATGCCCAGCTAATTTTTTGTAGTTTTAGTAGAGACAGGGTTTCACCATGTTGACCAGGGTGGTCTCGATCTGTTGACCTTGTGATCCACCCGCCTCGGCCTCCCAAAGTGCTGGGATTACAGGCTTCAGCCACCGCGCCCGGCCTTCCTTTGTGGGGATTTAAATTTTATCATCTATTATTTTCTATATTATCTCTCCCAGTGCATTCATCTGCCTTAATAATTATGTGACTGATTCCCAATTTTAGTTAAATCTCCAAGCATTTGTTGAACATCTACTGCTTGCCAGATACTGTGCTTAGTGTCAGAAAAGAAATAAAAATATTTAAGACACAAATTTTGCCCTAAAGTAGCTTGTAATCATTTCATGTGAGGACATCTTTAGCCTCTCACTCTTGAGTTCCAGGCTTAATTTCTAGCTTCCTTCTGAACCTCTATGCAGAAGTATCCTTAAGCTCCTTAAACTCTGTGAATAAAATGAAATGTATTAGCCTGGCAACATAATGAGACTCTATTTCTACAAAAATAAAAAAAAAGTTAGCTCAGCATGGTGGCACATGCCTGTAATCCTAGCTACTTGGGAGGCTGAGATGGGAAGATCTCTTGAGCCCAGGAGGTCAAGGCTACAGTGAGCCAAGATCACACCACTGCACTCCAGCCTGTGCGACAGAGCGAACTAAATAAATAAATACATTTAAATATATTATCTTCTCCCAACTCCAAGATAAATCCAAAAATTTGTTCTCTCTTATGATGTTTATCATCTTTATTTATAGCAGTCACAATTCTTACACACTTTAAAAGGCTCAATACTTTCATTGTCTTTGATGCTCTCTTAACAAGTCCTGTCACGTCAGCAGCTTCGGCATCTCATGTGTTTTTTTTCCCTTTCGCATTAAGGCTCTCATTAATTCTGAAATGTGCTATTTCAGTCTTCTAACTCATCTTTATACATTTTTACCATTATTCTGCCTCCTTCCAGTCCAACCTGCGTGTTGCTGCCAAATTAATAATAATGAAAGACAGTTTTCATTAATGTCACTCCTCTGAAAAACTTCTGTCCTTCCATTTATTACAAAATAAAATCCAAACTTAACTCTCTGTGGTTGGCTTCAAGAAAAAAGAAGGCTGGGTGCAGTGGCTCAAGCCTGTAATCCCAGGAGTTCGAGACCAGCCTGATCAACATGGTGAAACCTCGACTCTACTAAAAATACAAAAATCAGCTAGGTGTGGTGGTGTGAGCCTGTAGTCCCAGCTACTCAGGAGGCTGAGGCAAAAGAATCGCCTGAACTCAGGAGGCGGAGGTTGCAGTGAGCCGAGATCGCACCACCGAACTCCAGCCTGGGTGACAGAGTAGGACTCCGTCTCAAAAAAAAAAAAAAAAAGAAAAAGTCCAAACTTCTGAGCTGGACATTTCATGTTCTCTACAGTTGTATTCAGATTTACGTGGTTTGTTACTACTCCCATACACATCCTAAATTCCAATCAAACATTGATGTTTTTATGCAGTTCTGCCACTTTTTTGAGACAGATTCTCTGTCACCCAGGCCAGTGGTGTGATCTCTACTCACTGCAACCTCTGCCTCCTGGGTTCAAGCGATTCTTGTGCCTCAGCCTCCCAAGTAGCTGAGATTATAGACATGCATCACCACCCCCAGCTAATTTTTGTATTTTTAGTAGAGATGGGGTTTCACCATATTGGCCAGGCTGGTCTCGAACTCCTGGCCTCAAGTGATTGCCCACCTCAGCCTCCCAAAGTGCTCAGATTACAGACATGAGCCACTATCCCGCATTTTTTTTTTTTTTTTTTTTTTTTTTTTTTTGAGACAGTCTCACTCTGCTGCCTAGGCTGGAGTGTAATGGCATGATCATAGCTCACTGCAGCTTCAATCTCCTGGGCTCAAGGAATCCTCCCTCCTTAGTAGTTGAGACAACAGGCACACACCACTAGGCTGACCATTTCTACCACTTTTGTCTTTGCTATTACATTCTCTTCTGTTTTTCACCAAAAGAAATAGTCTATATACCTTGAGCTCCCATGGCTATTTTGTTAGTACTTTTTTTTTTTTTTTTTTTAGATGACCATTCGTCTGGATTTGTTAGTACTTTTTATATCACCCATCACATCATCTACTTGTATTATAGTTACTTGGATAGTTTTTCTTCCTGATTAAATTACGATCTCTGTGGAGTCAAGGATTAGCTCTTCTTTTTCTGCATATTCTTCAGAGTCCCTAGTTTCACACAGAATAAGTGCCTAGTACATGTTGTTGGCACTGAATTGACAATGAGTACATGAATTCCATGGTCTATACTTCACCCTTTTGTTGACTACCTTACTTTTTCTTTCACAGAAAAAAAAAATAGAAGACATCAGACTGGAACCTCTAAACTTCCTACTACTAAAGAAACACAATCTCTTATTGTTTAGTAAATTGTTTTTGACTGAATTATTCTTTTTTTCCTTATTTTGTTTTCTGTTTTACTTATTTTTTATTGAATTATTCTAACACATGTTGTCTACTTTAGAAACTAAGAATTCGGAGGATGAAGAGAAAGTTTTTGACTGAATAGTTCTATTTTTACCCTATTTTGTTTCCTTTTTTACTGAATTATTGTAACACGTGTTGTCTACTTTAGAAACTAAGAATTTGGAGAATGAAGAGAAAGACAATCTTGTGGAAGAATGGGATTCTGAAATGAGAACTGCAGAGAAAGGTAAATGAAGTAGTTAAGGAGTTAAATGGGTGTGGGGGAAGCCCTTCTGTTCTAAATTTGTTTATATACTTAGATGGGATTAAGTCAGATAGACTTTTTAGTAAAACAGATGATTTTTTTGGCAACATTCTAATGTATTTGTTCTGTTTGTTTGTTTGTTTGTTTTTTCTTTTTCCAAAGAACTGGAACAGCTGAAAACTGAGGAAGAGGAGTTTCAAAGGTCAGCCTTCAATCCAACTGTCAGAAAATATAATACCAAACTACAGAAGGCTAGATGACTTCCTGCTTCCAGAGACTGACAGGACTGGGGACATGAATCTTGACTTAGGCTGACTCAGGGCTTCTTCACTTTGAATGGAACCCTAGAGTCCATCTTAGTCAACAATAGTTTTGAAGCACTTATTGTTTGCAGGGCATTTATCCAAAACAGTGTTTCTAAAGCTTGAAAACTACCAGTATCCTTTTTGTTTAATAAATATAAAAATAAACAAGTGTAAAATGAAGAGTATCTTTCTTAGGCCTGTGACTCTTACTCAGCTATCAGTCTAAAATCAAGTAAATAGAAATAATGACTAAATTTCTAAAATTCTAGTTGACAACATTGATTTGACAGGGGACAGTGTTTGGCTGAAATTAAATTAACTGACATGTCTCAGTTTTAAGGTAGATCTTATCTACATTATGCTTATATTTTTATATTTTTGCTTTTTATCAAAAATAAAAATGTAATATTTAATAATTATCTTAACATGTGAATCCCAAGGATATCTTCATGGATTCTAATTTGAAACACAATGATTTATGCCTTTCTCAGGTAGACACACTTCTAGATTAATGCTTATTTTTAAAAAAAAACTAAGAATGTAGAAATGGATGCTATACATCTAACTTTATTACCTCAATGGGGAGTCATGTAGCATGTGACTTCTTATCATAAACCTTTTATATTGATAGAGTTTGAATTCTCTAAGAAAAGACTTATCTCTCTGTGAATACCTGCTTTTTTTTTTTTGCAGAAATCTCTTAGAACTGGAGGTACAAAAAGAGCAGACCCTTGCTCAAATAGACTTTATGCAAAAACAAACAAATAGAACTGAAGAGCTACTGGATCAGTTGAGGTAAGGAAACGCAATTGTCATTTGTTTGTGTTTTAATCTGTACCTTATGGTTGTCTGAAACTACTGGAGCAGTTGATGTATTTTTAATATGTTGCTGTTTTTAACTTATACAGTGCAGTCTCAAAAAGAGTCAGTGTACCCAACAGTAAGCTGAAAATAGAGTAGAAGAACTATGGACTTAGAATTTTTCAATATTTTACATCGTTCATTGCCTAGACTTGGTGTTTCTCCGATATACAACTCAAAATTGGGTTCTTACTTTTTTCAAAAGCTTAAGTTTGGACATTCAATATTTCAACTGAAATATTGATTGTCTCCCAATCCAGTGGAAAAACATTAGCAGCTGCTATTGGTACTGTTTGGGTGGTATCAGAAGTTTGGTTTTATCTTGATTCCAAAAATGCTTTTTAAAAATCTTGTTGATCTCTCTTCAGCTTGTCTGAGTGGGATGTTGTTGAGTGGAGTGATGATCAAGCTGTATTCACCTTTGTTTATGACTCGATAGAACTCACCATTACCTTTGGAGAGTCAGTTGGTAAGGAGCCAAAGTGAGATAATTCTCTACAGAAAAATGAATGGCTATACTAACTAAAGATTCAAATATTTATTTTGCTATACTGATAACTATTGAATTGATGAGAGCACTGCTGAAAGTCTTAGAAGAGTCATCTTTAGTGATAGCAGAATTTTATTTTGTAAAGAAAATTAAAATGCAGTTAGTGAAAGTTGCCCTTTGTTGAATTACATTAAATGATAAAAGTTTTGCTATCCAAATAATGGATAAACATGCTACTCATTTCCATTTACTGTGAGCTTCTTTCTTTTAATCTCCATCTTTCGTTATAGAGAATAGGAGAATTTAATGGCTATGGCTAGTGTTTCTTCTTTTTTTTTTTCTTTTTTCTTTTTTTTTTTTTTTTT